TAGAAACAGAGAACAGAATGGTGGTTGCCAAGGGCTGGGGCATGGGGAAAGGGGGAGAGGTTAGTAAAAAGGCACAAACTCTCAGTTATAAAATGAATAAGTTTTTAGAATCTGATGTATAACGTGGTGACTATAGTTGATAACACATTGTATAGTTGAAATTTGCTAAGAGAGTAGACCTTAAGTGTTCTCACCAAAGGAAAAAAAGAACGGTAAATATATGAGGTGATGGATGTGTTAACTCAGTTGTAGCAATCAAATGTATGTGTACATCAAATTATCACTTTGTACACTTTAAATATAATAAAATTTTGATAATTATGCCTCAATAAGGCTGAAAAAATAAAAAGAAATAAATAAAAGAGAAAAAAAAAGAAAACAAAAAGTCTCCAAACGTGTTAGCTTGAGTTTGTGATAAATTTTGGCCCTATCAGTAGCTTTGTGATCTTGGGAAAGTCACTTAAATTCTCTCATTGTCTCAATTTTCCTTATCTTTTTGTAAAATGATGCTTATACCACTTGCTCTCCAGTGTTATAAATTTCAAATAGTCTGACATTGGTGGAAGTAGTTTGGAGAGATTAGAGACCTCTCAGATGACAATGAAAGCGAGGCTGAGAGACACCTCTCACTCAGCGAGACGTGGTGGTGGTGTGCACAAAGCAAGTGTTTGGGCAATGGGCAAGGCTGGATGGGAATCCCAACTCTGCCTGTCACTGGGGCAAGTTATTAAACCTCTGTAAGTCTCTGCAATTTTTAAAATGCAAAGTTGTCGAGGCATGGAAATATATACATGAAGCTCCTAACAAAGAATAAGCCATTATTAAAAGGTACTTATTTTTATTATCAATTATTGAATTATGATGAAGTTAGCAGGTTCAGAATATCAAGCTTTATTTTCTAAGACATGCATACTAATTCACTTTGATCTCCAGGAAAAAGCCAATATAGAATTGAGCTGTCCTTCTAGAAACCTGATACTCAGCTCTTCTATACTAAATGGCTGAGGCTAATTCTGGAAGTTTATCCTCATACACATCACACCTTGAGGAAATCTGGACAGGTACCTCTCTTCACTTTAGAAGTCTCTGCCTAAGTACCCGCTTTCTGTGCCCACAGGAATTCTGATAGAATGTTGGGATCTCAAAACTTACCTTTGCATTCTAAAGAGGATAAAATTATAGTGCAATAATTCCAAACCCTTTGTAGCATGAGAATCTCATTTTTAAAATTTTTTTTAAATTTTTATTTATTTATTTATTTTCCCCCCAAAGCCCCAGTAGATAGTTGTATGTCATAGCTGCACATCCTTCTAGTTGCTGTATGTGGGACGTGGCCTCAGCATGGCCGGAGAAGTGGTGCATCGGTGCGCGCCAGGGATCCAAACCCGGGCTGGCAGCAGTGGAGCACGCGCACTTAACCGCTAAGCCACGGGGCCGGCCCGAGAATCTCATTTTAAGGCAAAAAAATTTCAAGGAATCCCATATAATAATAGTTCTATTTTAAGTAGCTTTTGATTGAGAAAATACATGATAAAAATTCAGCCACAGTAAAAAATTAGAGGATCTTCTCTTAAAAATATTTTCGAATAGGTAGTATATGAACCTGACACAAAATTCACAAGGTACAAAAGAGAATACCATGAAAAGTATCCTTCTTGCACACCATTCCTCAGTCACTCAGTACCCTTCCAGAGCCAATTACTGTTTCAATTTCTGCTGTGTCCTTTCAAAGGTAATCTATGCTCTACAAATGGTAGCATATCTTACCTCTCTTCTTCACCTTGTTTCACTCATCTTCATACATAACAATGTCTTGTTATACTTTAAAATAGATATGTGAAAAAAGAGAGAGAATACGTATTTTTATTCATCACGATGGCATCTGCTATTGAAAACTTGCATTGCATTTTTAATATACGGAAAGTCCTAGTGTGCAATAACTACATGTGACTTAGAGATTCCCAGCTCTTAGATTAGGAACCACTGGTATAAGTAAAATATCAATAATATTCAGCATTAATTTTGGCCCTTACTCTGCGCCAGGCATTGTTCTAAGCCCTTTACTCTTATTATCTCACATAATCCACATCCTTCAAATCCTTCCAGTCTCAGCCTAAATGTTATCTCCTCAGAGAAGCTTTCCCTTATCCAGGTAGATCTACCCTCTCCCTTTTCCATTATTCCCTATCATTTCATCCTGTTTATTTCCTTCAGGACACACATCACTATAAGTAATTAGTTACCTATTCATCTACTTGTGTACTGTTGTCCCCAAACTAGATTATGAGCTTTGAGAGCAGGGACAGTGTCTCTTTTGTTCACTGCACTATACCCAGTGCCTTGTGTTGGCACAGAGGAACCATTCAATTGGATATTTATTGAATAAGTACATAATGAGCAAAAAACAACTTTATGAGGTAGACACTATTATTATCTCCATTATACAGATGAGGAAACTGACACCTAGAGAGGGAAATAGACTCATCCCATAGTTACTAAGTTACAAAATTGGTTTGAAACCCAGCTCTGCTTGACCCCAGAATACAAGCTCTTCACCACTACTCTGGTCTCAGAAATAGGCTGAATACAGTCCTGTCTGTGTGTGATCTTGAGTAAGCCCTTTTCCCTCCCTGGAACTGTTTCTTCTACTGAAAAATGAGAGGGTGAAGTTAGCGATCTTCCTTATAGCGATGTTTGGTGATATATGAGATCTCTGATCTATGAAAATGAAAAGGGAGACATTAAAGGGGCTAACAAGACTTGACGCCTTTAAGAAATCTGATTTTCAATTCTTTTCTTTCTTCCCTTCTTCCTTCACTGAAGATTTGCTGATCCTTATTCTATGCCAGGCATAGTGTTGTATGTCCCTTTGGATAGAGATCCAAAGAATAATAGGACATAGTCCCTGGTATTAAGGTACCTGGTCTGATGGGTCTAATGCAGACCCATTAACAGCATATAGGTAAGAGACGTAATAGAAATATGTATGAGAAACATGGTAACATAGAAGAGGAGGGATTAATTCCCCATGTATGTGTAAGGGGGTTGGGATGGAGGTAGATGTGTAGGAAGGGAGGGATGAGTTATAATGCTGAGCTGGGCCTTGGGAAAAGAATAGTTTTCTAGGTGGACAAGATGGAGGTGAGGCTTCCTGGATATAAGAGACATTATGTGCCGAAGCACAAGAAACAGCACAATGTGCCGAGGATTGCTAGGGTAGGTGGCTGGCTCCCAGAGTAGGGAGCTGGCTAGGTAGAGGGAGCCCGTGAACAGTCATGCTGAAGAGTTTGGACTTTACTCCTGAGAGCAGTGGCATGGCCAAATCATATTTACATTTTATTTTTATTTATTTATTTATTTTTTTTGTGAGGAAGATCAGCCCTGAGCTAACATCTGCCAATCCTCCTCTTTTTGCTGAGAAAAACTGGTCCCGAGCTAACATCCGCGCCCATCTTCCTCTACTTCATATGGGACACCGCCACAGCACGGCTTGACAAGCAGTGCCCCAGGGCGCGTCTGGGGATCCCAGCTTGCGAACCCCGGGCCGCTGCAGCAGAGCGCGCGCCCTTAACGGCTTGCGCCACCAGGCCGGCCCCAACATTTTATTTTTGGAAAGATCACTCTGGCAGTGGTAAGACTGGAGGAGGGTGATGAAGAGAAAGGTGGGGAGACCATTAGGAGGCTTTGCAGTAATCTAGGTGAGAGATGATGAGCACCTGCACCTAAGGTATTCACAGCAGTGTCGGGGAGGAACTAGATAAATCAGAGATGTTTTAAAAGGTGGAGCCAAAGGACTTGGTGATTGATTGGATGAGGGAGAATAAGATGAGACTAAAGGATTTATTGGAATGCATTAGGTGGCCAAGTATAAAATGGTGCCATTAATAATTATAGGAAACTTGGAGTGAGGTGGGAGAAATAATGCTGTTGGCTTTGGATATGTTAAGTTTGAGGTGTCTCTTAGATAGCCAGGAGAAAAGGTCTGGCTCCCTCCTTCCTTTCCAGAATAGCAGTCCTAGCCTAAGTCAGACATCCTTGGCCCAGTTTCCTGCCAGGCCCAGTCAGGGATAAAATTCTCCAAGACCTCACTGGAATTCCTGAGCTCCACATCCCTCAAGGATATAAACTGGGTATTGAAAACTCCCTGGATCCTTATTAATAGGAGGAGAATGGATCGTGAACTTGCTTTTTAAAATAAGATGCTGGCTCCAGTGGAGCAAACTCTCCTGCCTCTTGTAAGCACCAGACTTTTACAAAGAAATCATTTCCTATGGAGCAGCCTCTGGTCCTGACAGGCTCTGGCTCTTAGGTTGGCTCCCAAGAGGCCTCTACCTCCCTCAGGGAGCGGCTTTTTAAAAAACGAGGTTGTATGTATAGCGCGGTCCCGCCTGGCGGCTGGAGAAAGCCCAAAGTCTTGGGGACTGGACCCTCTGCCAACCACCACCCCTGGTTAGGTGTCCTTAATGCCGAGACAAGACTCCATGTAGCCCCAACTCTTTCCAAAATGACGGGGCTGGGATCCTCCCCGACCTCAACTCGCATCTCCAGCGCTCACCAGGCGGTGGCAGGGCCGAGCACGTGGGCTCGATTAGGGGCCGGCCTCTAGGGTCCTCTCCGCGAAGGGGACAACCCAGGAAGCAGGAGGCTGGCCCACCATCCTGGCAGTGGCAATCTCCCTGGCTGCTACAGCCGACGGCCAAAGGCAGGGGCACACCCTCTGTCCCACTCCCATGTTCATAGGACAGTGCCAGAATCCGTTCTCTCTACTCCGCCCTCTCTTCACGCACTACCCCACTGTCAGGCCGATAAACCCCAAGGGCAAAGGGTAGCACGATTCCTCTCGCGCCCCTGCGGGCCCTGAAGCTGGGTACTAAAGCAGTGCAGTCCCAAGCTTCCCCTGCAGAAGCCGCGCTCCTCACTCGGTCCGGAGGTAGAGGGGGCGCGAGAGAGCAAGTGGGCGGGCGTCCCATCCTCCGCATCCTCCTCCAGGTCCTGGCGCGCAGGGTGGGAGCGCTGCGCGCCGCCGCGCTGCGCATCGCGGCCCGCTTGCCGCCTGCCCCCTGCCCTATCTGGGCCACCTCCCTGGACTGCGGGTGGAGGGCTTCGAGCAGCTAACGTTACGCTGTTTCCGGTTTTCCAGCGGGCTCTGTTTCCCCTCCCAAGGCGGCGGCGGCGGAGCGGCGGAGCCCCCCAAATGGCCTGGCCAGATGCGGCAGGTTTGCTGCTCAGCGCTGCCGCCGCCGCCACTGGAGAAGGCTCCGTGCAGCAGCTACAGCGACAGCAACAGCAGCAGCAGGGAGAGGAGCAGCAGCAGCAGCGAGAACAGCAGCAGCAGGAGCAGCAGCAGCAGGAGCAGCAGCAGCAGCAACAGCAGCATCTCCCGTCCCGCTGCGCCCCCAGAGCCGCGGCCGCCGCAACAGCCGCAGCCCCGCAGCCCCGCAGCCCGGAGAGCCGCCGCCCGCTCGCGAGCCGCAGCCGCCGGCGGCATGAGGCGCGACCCGGCCCCCGGCTTCTCTATGCTGCTCTTCGGTGTGTCGCTCGCCTGCTACTCGCCTAGCCTCAAGTCGGTGCAGGACCAGGCGTACAAGGCACCCGTGGTGGTGGAGGGCAAGGTACAGGGGCTGGCCCCGGCCGGCGGCTCCAGCTCCAACAGCACCCGCGAGCCGCCCGCCTCGGGTCGGGTGGCGCTGGTGAAGGTGCTGGACAAGTGGCCGCTCCGGAGCGGGGGGCTGCAGCGCGAGCAGGTGATCAGCGTGGGCTCCTGTGCGCCGCTCGAAAGGAATCAGCGCTACATCTTTTTCCTGGAACCCACGGAGCAGCCCTTAGTCTTTAAGACGGCCTTTGCCCCCCTCAACACCAACGGCAAAAACCTCAAGAAAGAGGTGGGCAAGATCCTGTGCACTGACTGCGGTGAGTCGCCCCCTCCCTCTGCTGGAGAAAGGGGGGAGGGGCGAGGTAGTGGAGAATGGGGGTGGGGCGGGGAGGTGCTGCAGGTGCCCCGGCCTGGCAGCGCCTGGCCGCTGGGGGTGGGGCCGCCCCTGGGCAGGGCGCCTGGCACGGGTGGGTGAGGGGTTTGGGGTTGGAGAGAAGGAGGATCAGGCTCAAAGTGTGCCAGGGGTGGGGGGCGGGGGGAGGCGCCAGCCTGTGCCAGCAGGGATCTGCGGCTGATGTATGGCATGTGGGGCTGGAAAGCTGCCATCATAGCCCAGTAGCGGCAGGAAAAACGGAGAGGTCCGGGTGGTGCTGGCCCTAGGCTCAGTGAGTCAGGAGTGACCCTCGGAGGCCTTGCCCGCTCTGCTCCCGCGGGCCTGCCTTGCTCAGGCTGGCAGGGTCTGCAGAAGCAGCTGGGCAGACTCCCAGGCTGTGAAGGCCTCCGCTCGCAAGTTCTCCTAGGGAATAATGGCCCCCGCCCCCTCCTTCCTCTCCTGGGCTCCCGGCTATGCTCATCCACACCGCTGGCGCAGGCAGAGTTGGACTTTTTCTGCTACTGTTTTCCGTCCTCCATGTGGCTCCGGTTTTTTTCTCCACGGTGATTGCCTGTCTTTGCTAAGCGGGTAGCACAGTCTTCTCTTAACCTCCAGGACTAGCAAGGAGACACCTCTTTGGGCTGTTTCTGGGAGATCTTACTAGGTCTGTTGATTGTGATGACGATGAAATAGAGTAAGTTCCGCTGAATGCTGTTAAGTTCAGCTCTGACATCTTACTGGCAGAATGTATTGACTGCATCTCGCATCTTCATGATGTTGGGTGCTGCACAGGAATGCAGGTGATTAGAAACACAACACTGAAATCCGTAGATTTGTGCAGCTGGGAATGGAAGACCCCCAGGTCAAAAGTCAAAATGTCAGTTTAAGAGTTTTTTCTTCTTGTCCCTGAATCCAGTAAGATGTTTCAAACCAAATTGTCCCCATGCTGGAGTATTTGGTTTACCTTGTCTTGTGCTTATTCATATTGAGGTTTCATTTTGTTCCAACTAAGGCTGAATTTGGTGCTTACGGTGTGACTCTGAACTGTGTAATCACTGAATTGTGACAGATGTCCTGGACTGTCATAAAGTTGGTATGTTTACCAGTTTAGCAACTGATTCTAGGCAGTGTAGACAGGCTTTGAGTAGCAAAGAATGTGTGATAGCTCATGGGAAGTTTTGCTGCCCTCATCTTTCTAGATCAATGCCTTTGACTTTTGGAAGCTTCCCTCCTCCTACCTCCCATCCACCCCTGTCCTTCAAGAGACAAATTTTAGTTTAATGGTGGGAGTATATCTAGGCATTATGTTAAACTGTGATCACTCTAATCAGAAGAATCTTGCAGTGTCTTAATAAGGAGGGAAAAAACTTTGTGATAACAGCAGTTTCTCTCTCTGACATCGTTCTAAAGAATATTGTTAACTGCTCTTTAATGTTGGTTTTATGCTCTGAAATGGTTTATGATGACAAGTGGAGACCAGTGAAGAATTTCTAATTTTTTATTCTATTAAGCATTTTATCTGAGATCCCTGGGGGAGCTGTGGAACTGTATTGTGCTGCGGGAAATAGATAGTAAAAACATTTATTGAACCTTGTCCAAGGACAGCTTCTGTTTTGGTTTTCGGTGAGTTGCTCCTGAATATGCACAGTGCACATCCACACATAATCCCTAGTCTGGTCCATTGAGACCCGCTGGTCATTGTCAGATAATCCCCTGTCCTCCTCCTCCTCCTTTTCTCCTTCCCCCCATCAATTATACCTTGTTTGTTCTAGTGACTGCTTAAGAGTTTAATAGTTGAATGTGGAGATCATAAAAGATTTGGGGGTTGGAAATATAGCCTGCTTTTAGGTTACGGTCATCTCATATTATTAAAATAGCATGTGTAGTACAGTTCTGAAAAAGATAAATTTAGGACTGCAATCACAGCTAAAGAGAAGGCCCTCACACATCACAAATTATTAAGGAGGAGGAATGTGGATGGAAGTAAACATTTTGGAATGCAAAAATCTTTGCTTTGAATTGATAGTATATAGATATGTGTCAGTTTGGGGGGCTTTATATAAGGGGATTAGAAATGAAAGGACATCTTTGTGAGGGGAAACTTGTGGAACTGGTGATAATATAACAGAAGAGCGTAAACTGCATTTTCTTATTTTCTACTCTGTGGTTAAAGAAAACACGCCCTGGTGATGGTATATTAAATAAGGAAACAAAATCATCCTAACAAACCACAACACCTTCCTTGTGCTCAGCAGGAAATAACCAACAAATTCATTTTCTGTTTTCTATCTATAAAGAAAGCCCTCTGGGCCACACGGTCATTGGGAACATTTTCTCCTTGGAGCAGATTTGCCCATTGCAAAATAGGGAAACTGGCATTGGAAACTGTCATCATTGCCCTTATGTTGAGCAACTGTGGTTGAATTGTTACTTTGTTTAGCCAGTTTGAGCTCTGAGTGTGTCTGCATTCTGAGAGGTGTGGTTCCTGGGGAGATCAACTAGAAAGCTATGTTTGGTGGGCTAAGACTTTGGGACCATATAGAGGGATATACCGTGCTTAAAAGTTAGCACATGCCTCAGTAACATCAATGCAGGGGTCATACTGCACCCCTTCTAAAAGGTCCTCATAAATGGCTAATTTCACCACAACTATGGAATGTTGACTTGAAGCCTGTGTAGTCTGGCTGAAATAGCAATATCTGCGAGAGGGGTATTTTTATAGATCGAATGTGTATCATTCATCCAAAATTACTACCTCTGGTGGTAAAGAGTTGAGTAAAATCTTTGCATTTCTCCCAAGATTGCATACGGAGGTGTTTTCTGTGCCTTCTGTGGAAAGAGGAAAAGGAGTTAGAAAGGACTCCTAGGGATTAGAAACTCTGTGCAATGCTGTAAAAGCATCCTGTTCTGCAAATAGTCCTGCATTTTTAATGATGGTTGCATATATTTTGGTATAATCACACCCTATCTTGTTGCTTTCCTATATATGTGTTTTTCAACTGTTTTCTTATTGAATAGACACAGTAGACAGCATCCAAAAAAGAAAAATCATCCTTCCTTTGGGACTTTCTAGTTTGCGGTTTTCTTCCAGTGTATAGTGTACTTTGTTGTTAAAGATGGAAAGGGTGTATTCCTGGGGGACTTTACATTCCTCAGCATAGTTTTTAATTCATTTGGCACCCAGATTCACATCTTAGAGGAAGGTGGTTCACAAAATTCAGTACCATAGCAAAACCGACTGCATATTTTTAAAATGCTGTTTATTTAAAGAATCTTTTCTTCCCCAGCCAGCTGGAAACCCAGCTGTGCTGCAGCTTGAAGATGGGAAAGTGAAACTAGATTAGAAACTGACCAGTCCTAGTGGTGAGGACAAGGCTTGGTTATAGATTTAGGGGTAGGATTACCATCATAATGTCATTATTTCTTTCGGTGGCTGCTTTCCTCGGCAGACTTGGATTCTTGGGGGCAGGAACTATAACTTATCTTTCAGGTCTTCTGTCACCTGGCTCTCCTGCCCCCCAGTGTTTGGTACTGTGCCTGGTTTATAGAGGGACTCTCCTAAGTGTCTTTTGAATGGACGAAGTCAAGTGAGGTTAAAAAAGCAAGTCTCCAGATTAATTCTAAAACAATCAACTCTCGGATCTGTGACACCAGGTCTTGTGCTGAAAAGCTGAGTTTGATGATAGCCTTTACCTGTCGCTATGGGAACCTTTTTTTCTAAAGGAATCCTTATCAACTAGAGTACTTAACCACAATGTGCTTAATCATTGTGCTGATTAGTGTTAATGAGATTTGAGCAGTGGAGAATAAAGGTCTTGCTGGAGAAGATCCCCCTTTTTTTTGTTTTTGAAGGGTAGATTACCACTCCCCCGCCCCCAGGTTTAAACAAAACAACTATCAGTTTGAATTAACAAATGGTTTGGGAGCTAGAGAGAGTGGTATATTAACTAACTAGGTGACTAACTTCTTCTTGGTCCCAATCCTCTTTACCATCTTTTATTATCTAGGACATTTTAATTTATTTCCTAATAACGAATACGCCAAGTTAGTTTTTTTCTTTATAAGATTGGATTTACATTTTTGAATATGTAACACATTTATATGGCTCAAACTTCAGAAAGTACATAAGAATATCTGGTGAAAAGTCTCCCTCTCACCCCTGTCCTCAGCTGCCCAGCTCTCAGGTAATTGTAAAACAACATGTTCTTGAAATGCGTATTTCTCTAAAAGCAAAATGTTTTCAAAGTAGTTATATTTTTCTCTTAATAGATGGAGAATGTTAATTTTGCCATTAAGTCAATTTTACAGTAAATTCTTCCCAAGTAATACATATTTTTTTAACCTAACCCCAAGATCTTAACCAGTACCCTACCTTCCAAATATAACCCTAGGGTCAGGAATGAAAATACCAACTTATTTTTTAGATACTTTGCCACTAAGAAGTTTTCTATGACAATGAATTTTGTGAGTGGGTCTTAATTGGGATGCTCAAAGGAAAGATCGAGAAGTTTGTCACTGAGCTATAGGGCTGCAGCTCTGCCCGTACAGCAATTCCTGCTGTTTCACACTCTTGGTAATCTCACAATAGCATCCATGTGGGAAATCACATGATTCCCTATATGGAAAGAGAAAACTCCACAGTGCCTGATTGCTTTGATTTTCATTTAGAAGCCAAAGACCCCAGTTGCTGATGACGAGTTTGATTTTGACCGTTTTTATGTACAGCCGGGATGATTCCAGGGGGAATTAGCCACCCAAATATATTTTTGAAGTATGTTTTTTTTTTTTTTTTGTGAGGAAGATCAGCCCTGAGCTAACATCCGTGCTAATCCTCCTCTTTTTGCTGAGGAAGACCGGCTCTGAGCCAACATCTATTGCCAATCTTCCTCCTTTTTTTCCCCCAAAGCCCCAGTAGATAGTTGTATGTCATAGTTGCACATCCTT